TCTTGAGAACGCCACCAATACTGGAGATTACTACGCCGGCCCAACATGCATTGACTAATGTAAACCTTTTTTTTTTTTTTACTTTAACTGCTTCTTTGTGTAATGGAAAGTTTTTTACATAAGAGGGCAATAGACTGATGCGAATAATAATAGAATTTTGAATTAGATTGCTATTGATCGGTGTTCCTTATTACGGTTCTAATTAGGTCTAGGTATGGATGCTTTTAGGAGAGAAAAAAATAATTGCTATATGATTTTTGTTTGATGACAAACATTTTTTTTATTAAGTTATTGAAAACATTATCTGTGTATCATTCAATAAATTGAAAGTTTAAATGCAATTAAAACATGTTAGCACCTTATTTTTGTTTATGTATGAAGTCATCACCCACCTCTTTATTTCAAATTTTACATTGCATGATGCCTAAGCAATTGAATTATATTATCAGTTTTTTAAGAAAAACAATGGAGAATATTATTCCAATGTTACTTTCGAACTATGCATTACAAGACTAAATGGCATTGTAATACGTTGACACTTAGCATATATGCATTATTTCCCTATACGCGAGTAAATTTATTGGAAATCAACAAATTGCCATACTTTTGACAAATTTACAATTGATGACGGAAGGGAGAGGGGAAAAAAAAAAAGAGAACTATATAGTTTAGATTTTTATGTTTGTAGAGTTTTTTCACTCATTCTTTTATTAGTTTTGACTACTTTGAGCTGCAACCAATTTTTCGTTTTATATGAGCACTTTTCATAATGTTTTTGCTCTGTTAAAATTGCATAACCAAAGATTTTAAGTTTTGTATAAAACAAAAAGAAGGATGTCCATAAAATGTGTTATTAGAAAATCTAAAGATAAGTTACATTTAGAGTGAGAATTAACTATAAGGGGGAAAAAAAATATTTTGGTCCCTACAATTTTCACTCATTTATAACTTAGTCCTTATAGTTTATCTCAGTGCAACTTAATCCTATAGTTTTGACTCAATTGTAACTCAATCCCTAAAATTTGACTCACTACAACTTGGTTCCTATACTTTTAACTATTTTATAATTTAATCTATCTTTTTATTAGATATATAATTTTATTTTTTAAAAACACAAAGACTAAATTATAAAATAGATAAAACTATAGGGATCAAGTTGTAATGAATCAAACTTCAGGAACTTAATTACAATCGAATCAAAACTATAAGAACTGAGTTGCATCGAGTCAAAGTATAGGGATTGAGTTGTAAATGTGTGAAAACTATAAGCACCAAAAGATTAATTTTCCTGAGTTAATAACAGTTAGATTCTCAACAAAGTTTTTTTTAATGAGTTGTAAATATTAATTTAGACAATTGCAAATTAAAAATTTTAATTGCAAATGAGACATTTAAGTTTCAAATGTAATGCTTAGTTGGTAATCCAGATACTTGACTGCAATTATTTGAATCAAATCTAGAACTCATTTTTGAGAAAAAATTTTCAAAGAGCCAACTGTTATTGGTTTGTTCTTTTGAAATACAAATGTTGTTTTCCCATTATTTTACATGTACTAACTTCTATTCTTAATATAAAAATTAGTTTAACTTTTAATTCAGTCTTAAATATAAGACCACAATTCATTTTGTCTCCAATATTTACTCATTTTTCTCAAGTAATTCTTATAATACTTATATATGTTAAGGAGTTACTATTAATTTGTAATTCAAACACACATGATTAATAAGGGCATTTTAAAGAAGGCAATATCTATTTACAACAAATACTAACTTCCTTAATCTTTTCAAAGTGATAAAATAGGTTTTATATTAAAGACCACAGGTAGCATTAGAGACTCCATTTTATCCCAAAAAAATATATGGTTGTTGAAGTTTACTCTGCAATGCTTGATTGAATTGCATCTTATTATTTAAATTTGCCGCCGCCACCAACTTCGTTCAAGTATACCTACAAATACAATGATTAGATTTGGCTTTACCAAATATGTTAATTACAAGTGTACAAAATGGAGCTCCATAAATTTATGAGGGTATGAATGTAGAGCACAGAAGGAGTCTCTAGATGGAGAAATCACAGGATCAGTCTTGAAAGGCATTCGTCAAGTTCATAAAATCGGGAGAATTCTTATGAAGTTCCAAGTAAAAAATTTAATTATTAAAAATTTTTAATAATAACAGAACAGCTTATAATGATAAGTTTCATGATAATAAACTAGACATCATACCTCATGCATTACACGGACCTACTAACCACTAATGGTTTAATTACTAAGATTTGAATTTATTTTGGCATTTGTTGAAATACTTGATCTCATGGTAATTAACGCATTATAGTTATAAATAAATAGATATTTTACAGTAGATTCCAATACCAGATTAACACTAAAACAGCAATAATTTTTTGAACAAAGAAGAGAATGTCGCATCATAAATTAATTTTGTGAAGAAGTTAAATGATAAAGTGAATGAACGAGGATTTCATATACCAAAAAAGATAATGATCAACGGTTCTAGCGATGGATTTTAGTCCACTTTGAAATATAATGCAATGATTTCATAGATTAACCTTTTTTCCGTGTGTTGCACAAATAGTCCAATGTATTTAAAATACCTTCTAACTTGTGAGCAGGATCAAAAAAGATAAGAAGTTAATTGCATGAGTTGATGTTGCATTTGGTGGTGCCCTGTTGATAGCAGAACATTGCTGGTGTATGTTCCACTTGAAAATAGCTAAGAGCTATTTTTGGATGCTTCTAATTGAAGTGCACATCAAATCTCATGCGTTGCATGTGCTGAATCTTTGTATAATTATCAATGATGTTCTGCATTTTTTTGGTTCTTAGAATGAGGCATAATCTTGCATTACGTAATTGTTGAAAACTGATAATATATTAGTATTCAATGGGGAGTAAATTTTGGTGCAAAAGGTCATACATTATGCCTGGAAAAAAAAACACGATAAGGTTGGATATTTGGATATGCTCACCGTTGTGACTTGTGAGATGATAAAAGGGATGGAAGCAAAATTCTAATCGGAAAATTAAAGCACTAGAGAGATACGGATACCAACATCTAATAAATCGCCATGGATAAAAACACTTAACTTTTTAATCCTATGATAAATCGTGATAATTGCTCAATTTCTGAACCACACTTAAATTTGATTATGAATAAAAAATAATATATCGTGAATCGTATCACCGCTAAAAGTCTGAGGCTGAATGAAAACCTCAAAGATTTTCAGTAGCGCCACTAATAGTCACTATTGAAAGTCAACTTTCAACAATGACCTTAGAAAATCACTGCTGAAGGTTAAACTTTCAACAACGCCTTTCTAACATTACCGTTAAAAGTATAATATGATAATATCTATTTTATTTTATAATAATAATCAGAAAATTCAATCTAGTTTAGCGGTAAGAAAATTGGATATAAACGAAAGTGGTCATGAGTTCGAACCCTGAAGAAGACACATTTAAGTTGAAAATATTTAAACGATGACATGGCGTCATTAAAGCCATTTTTCTTCAGCATCACTTTCAATGACAATAAAAAAGTCACTGCTCAAAGTTACTTTTGGCAGCAACAACTAAGGGCCTTTTGGAGGCAACAAAAGTCGATGCTAAAAGTGTCTTTTAATAGCACTAAAACTTTTTATTCACGGTCACTACGGCAATGATTTTTCATGTCACTGCTGAAAATAATATTGTTGCTGAAATTCAATTTTTTTTTTGTAGTGACGCTTTTTTAGATAAACTTAATCATTAAAATTACATATTAACCTATATGTAATAATGAAAATGAGACTAGTCTCGTCAATAGGGCATTGAGCCAAATAGAGATAATTTCCTTACAATCATCTAATTTGGTAAGGAATGAAAATGTAAAAATATAATTAAGTAATATGACGTACTCAAAAGGTGGAAACCGAGATGGATGTGAGGCAAAAGAAATCACATCATTGTGGATTGATGTTCTAGAAGATCTTTCGATAAATAAGGTTCTTGGCTTATTTAAAGTTTAAACATTGAGTGACTTGAGTCCATTATAATTATGTGAATAAGATAAATATAACAAAAATCATACTATATATTCAGTGACTACTTATAAAGAGTGAGTTACAAGTTATTGTGGCTTTTTTTTTTTTAATTTTATTATATTTGAATATTTATCATCATCAAAGATGAAAAGTTAGGCAAAGCACATGTGCTTGTCTTAATTTGTCTTTTTTTCCTTTGCGGATCAGATACTATCAACACTTAAATATTCACACACTTTAAGAGATAAAATAACTAACCGACTGCGAATCAAATACACCCTGAGAATCTGCACCTTTTTGAAAACAGGAATGTTCGTGCATGTTTTTCATTATTGAAACTTTGAATTTGAATGATGATAAGAGTGCAAATTAACAGTAAAATAATAATAATATTTTTTTGTCTTATTTATAAGATAGAGAGTAAAACTTTTCTTAATCTTATTTATAAGTCATTTTATTAAATTTTTAGTATGAGTGAATTATTTTGTCTTTCATTTATTACAATTTATATAGTTATTTTTTTAAAGATGTATATATATTAAATAGGGATTAAATTTGTAAAGTTGTTATATTTTAATAGAAATTTAATGTAATTTAAATTTTTTTTGTTCTATGTGAAATATGCTGGAAGTGCCTTACAAATAAAACCAAAAAAGTATTTTCTTATTCCCTATCTCTAATCTATAATCTATAAATCTATAATATGTAAATGCGTCAAGCATGCGAATGGTTAATTGATTTTCACAGATACCAAGGGGATATTTGGTATTAGATAAAAGTACTTTTGAAAAATATTTTTTGTAAATCGAGATAAACTCATTCATATATTTATTTCGTACACTATAAAATCGCTTTTAAAATTATTGTTTGCTTTCCATCAAAACACCCCAAGCGATATTGTGCACCTCTTAATGACCACCAATAACAGTTAGCTCTTTGAAAAAATTTTCTGAAAAATGAGTTCTAGATTTGATTCAAATGATTGCAGTCAAATATCCAGGTTACAAACTAAGCATTACATTTGAAACTTAAATGTCTCATTTGCAATTAAAATTTTTAATTTGCAATTGTCCAAATTAATATTTACAACTCATTAAAAAAAAATTTGTTGAGAATCTAACTGTTATTAATTCAAGAAAAAATTAATCTTTTGGTTTTTATAGTTTTGATATGTTTGTAACTCAGCCCCGTACAACTCAATTCTTATAGTTTTGACTCGATTGTAATTCAGTCCCTGAAGTTTGACTCGCTGCAACTCGGTCCCTATACTTTTAACCATTTTATAATTTAGCCCCTCCTTTTATTAGATATATAATGGTTAAAAGTACAAGAACCGAGTTGTAACAAGTCAAATTTTAAATACTGAGTTACAACCGAGTCAAAACTATAGGAACTGAATTGCACCGACTCAAAGTATAAGGATTGAGTTATCAATGAATGAAAACTATATGTACTAAAAGATTAATTTTAACTAATTGAATTAAAAAATTTTCTGCCATTAATTCAATTTAACACCTTACTGTTATTCTCCCGGAGTTATGTTAAACCCATTAGCGTCCCGATGCTAGAGTTTTGGTTGGAAACAATTTGTAACATTTAGATGGAGACAAGATTTTGGGTCATAATAGTATTTTGCCTAACTTGAAACAAATTTTCTAGTACCTATGTATTTCATGTCCTAAATTTAAATTTTTCTTGTTGCACGGGACGTAGACATTGTTGAACCAAGAAAGATTCTCAAGAAAGTTTACACTGCCCTGACCTTCATTTTACTTCCAGGTTTGAATTTTTCAGTCGTTCACTTGTGGGGGTCTTTCTTTTCCTTATAATTATTTCACAATGTAATCAAAGGTCAGAGCAAATTTACAAAAACATGTCTTATTTGTAAAATTTACTCAAAGGACATTAGATTTCTTGTGATCACTCCAAATCGAGCTTTTATGTGGGAAGAAATTGTTTCTTGGATAATTGTTGTCTTTTTAGGACTAGTTGATGACGAGAACGTGTTATGTTAAAATATTATCACTATTTGAGAGGAAATTAAAACAAATGCGTAATAAATAACGCAATATGAGCAATAGATACTATTGATTTTGAGAAAAAGTTTTGCTAGATTATCAAGAATCATGACTTCCATGTTAGTTTTTGGAGTTAAGTTGTAAATTTATTCTGAAAGTTTTCACTTAAGAGCGCTGGATATCAAGAATTTTTTTAGGTGCCAATTGAAATTTTTTAAAATGAAAAAAATATGTTTTTGAAAAGTCATTTTCTTATGTAAATTTATTAAATTAATAAATTTATATAAAGAGTTGTATTTTCATATAAATTAATAAATTTATCTAAAGGTTTGTGTTCTCATATGAATTAATATATTTATATGAAAGGTTGTGTTTTTATATACATTAATATATGTATATGAAAGGTTAAATATGAAGTTTCTATGCTAAAAAGAACCTACATGTTAAAAAGTGTAACTCTTCGTGAAAAGGATATTAAATATCTTTTAGCTATTTAAATTATGTTGGTTCATGAATCAACATAAAGTTATAACTTTTAATTAAAGATGTGTTAATCCAAAAGGCATCTCTCCAGACATCACTCCATGGTTTATATAAACTTCTTATTATCACTTCATTTGCACATAACACAAATATAAATACACCAAGATCAAAACTCATTACCCTTGTCATTTAGTATACACAGAAATAAAGTCAAATTATTTTGTCGTTGTCTTGGCTTGAATCTTCAAAGTGCAATTCATCTTTAAGGGTCTTCATTATATCCTCAAAAAAATTCACCGATTAACCCAACTTACACCCTATGAGATAAGAATAGGCGGGGCAAATTAAGTTTAAAAAAAGTGTTGTCCATACTTTGAAGACATTGTGCATCATTTTCTTTATCATCTCTTCTTCTTGTACTTTTTAGATAACCATTCCTGCCAGCACAAATTTGCCATGGAAGCTTACCCTTAAAAAACTAATTTAAGCTTCCATGGCAAATAATTGCAATCCATATTCAAGAGTCAACTCAGTGCCTTTGTTTTTTATAGTAATTTTGCCCCTACTGTTAAAAAACTAATATTGAAAATTTAAATAATGTCATTTACTGTTAACACTTTTAATAATAGAGGCCAAAATTGATACAATTTTAATCTTTTGGGGCAAATTTGTACATTAAAAAACTTCCTGGTGCCTAACAAGTAAAAACTTTCATGATAAATTTACACATTAACCCTTAGTTTTCATGCAATGTTTTTGTTTCACTAATGAATCATGACCATCGGTGCTCATACATAATCCAACAATTGTCTCTTATTGATGATCTTAATGAACCAACTTCTAATCGGAACGAAATATATGATGTTGGAATATTATGAACCTGAGTAGATTGTTATAACACCCTAGAGAAGTATAGTTATGAAATTAACTATGAATAAGAGATTATATGATTCATCCTGAATCTTAAGTGAATTCAAATTTCTAAAATTTCAATTCAACTCTAAAATAGCATAGGATTGGACTAGGAACACTTATTGGCTGGTTGAATACTTTCAATCCCAAAGATCTGCCTAGTTTGCCATGATGAATGGTGTTCACTACATTGAGATACAAGACTTTGATTCCTGTGATTTTTAAAGCTTACAATCTATACTTGACTTTCTCTAATCATTATCATCAGCCATCACTCACAATTCAACCGTATGAGTTAATATCCAAACCCAAAACTAGCAAAAAAGAGAAATCCTCAGGCAAGCAAACCTGGACTCCAAGCTCAAGCAAGCAACTCTGTACCCATTCACAATACAAGGCCCACCTTACCAAAAGCCTATATTACCATATCACGAGGATAAAATATAGCCATAAATGAGGGCCAACAAACTATGCCATCGTCATCCAAAATATAAAGTAGACAATCTCAAGATACTACAAGGAATTATATCACATATTAAACAGAGGCAAAAGCCGTATACGTAGCGCGGACATCTAGGATGTAGATTCAATGTCTATGCATCCCCCGAATAAAAGAAGTAATTAGAAAGTAAAAAATTTTATACAGATCTTTCGTATATTTCTAAGATTTAATTTTCATATATTATTTCTGATCCTAATTACAAAATTCTCGTTTATAATTTACAAATAAGGTTTTATAATTAAGACTGGAAATAGTACTAAGTATTAATTGATGATTAAGTTACAAGGTCAAACCAGTCTTTGGAAGAAAATATTAATTGCATTTGTATTTGTGATTTCATAAGTGCTTCTTGATTAGTACTTACGTGCCTACAAGAATAAGGGGGAAAAAAAATAGTGGGATTCCCTCTCCTCCCATTCCTCTTTCCTTCAAAATTCCCAAATCAAGCAAAAGCCCATTCGTGATCAGCATTTTTTCCCCCCAGTTTTGCATCTCTGTCCACAGGTGCCAGTAGGGGTGGAAATAGGTCAGGCAGCCTGTCAGGGGCCTGTGGCCTAGCCTGTAAATGGCCTGGCCTATTTAGGTATCAAATCAGGCTCAGGCCTGTAAAAATGCCTGTTTACTTTATTAGGCCAGGCTCAGGCCTGATAGTGAGCCTGTAAGATTAAAATTACAAATTGATAAGAGGGAATATGCTATTCTGATTGGTTAATTGAGAAAACTCCATTCACATAAATATGTTATCTAGAGCCTATTGCATGCTTCATTTCATTTCCATTCTCTATAATAAAAATAATTGATGTATGTATAATGACACATATTTGAATAGAGAAAGAAAACATAAGTGTATTAAAAAAAAAAGCATCATTCATTTATTTGATTCATGCTTTTCATATTAATCTTATATAGAATATATATATAATTGACCTATTATGTTTTAGACCATATATATGTGTGCTCAATCTAATTCTTATTATAATAGTTACTTAATTAATTTAAATAAATAAATAAACTATAATAATTGTAACATGTTTTTTTAAAACAACCATGTGTAACAACAGAATCAAATATTATTTTATTAGTAAATTAGTTTGAATAAATGATAAATTTAAAATATAAAAGGGATTAAGAATGTTTCATATTTTAAACTAGATCTAATCATCAACTAATTTTTATACTAGAGATGGGATGAAGTGATATTTTTATATCAGAGTGAAATTATGTTTTCTAATAATTTTTTATATTAGATTTTTTTGGACCTAAGGGGACATGTTTTATAAATTGTGTTAATTTGATTTTTTTTTTGTATTTTAGATCAATTAGGTTGAATTATTGTAATTTGAATTGATTTATGTGTGTTTAAAATTTGTTAAAAAAAACAGGCCTCTTAACAGGCCATAGGCCAGGCTCAGCCCAATTAAAAAGGCCTTTCACAGGACGCAGCCAGGCTCAAGCCAACAAGCCTCACCACAGGCCAGGCCTGTGGTGAGGCATGTCCTGGCCTGGCCTGTTTCCCCCTAGTGCCAGTGCATCGATTTGTATGCGCTACTTTGGCAGGTTGGATATTTGCGTGGATTTTTTTTTTTTCAATAAATGCGAACATTGCCAAATAAGGGGAAATAATCTCTGGCTGGCACGTAGATTTGATAAAGATGAAGGATAAGGAAAGTGGAATTAGGAAGAATTTCCCAGAAGATATGGCTAATAGATACGCCGAAAAGCGTCCCTCTCACGCTCTCTTTCGCTTAAGGCTGAACATTACAAATTAGTCAGGCTGAACATTCAAAATTAAAATATGCTGCCAACGTTAGCAGGCTTTCATTAGTAAATGGCTAGTTTAGGGGCAAAATTACATGAGGCGTGAATTGGTAATTATAATTTCTGTCCTTGAAATTTGTATTAGTATATATTATTTTTAAAATATCTAAGAGATGTTATTATTTTAATTCGGACTCAACTGTCATTAAATTTGGTTTTTATGTTCTACATGCCATTTCCTCTCTGCAAATGCCATTTATATTTTAATATGCCTTTACCATTTTAGTTTTGTGTTTTTAAGACAAAATACAATTTTATAATAATAAGTCATCAAAATCTATTTTAAAAGTAAGGAAATTTTAGCTCTCTCAATCTCATCCAACGACATTCTAATAAAAAGCATACATTTTAATGAGATAAAACATGATGCCAACAACCACCTAGTCCAATGACACTCTATATATCTCCTTTCGTGAAGTTATGGGTTCTATTCCCACAAAAACCAAAGTAGGGATTGGTAAAGTGTGGGTGTGTAGATTGCCTCTCAGAGGGGATGAGAATTTTAAGTTGTCTAATTAAAAAAAGAGAGATAAAACATGACATTCTTATGAGGAATTGGGAGATAAAATGCTAACAACAACAGCAATACTACCTTTTTAATTAAAATTGTAATTCTAAATGAATAATTAAAATAGCGATTTAGAGGAAGTTTTAGGGAAGAGAAAGGCAGTCCTTGCGGATGAGAGAGCATCAGATGCCATTTTTTCTTTGGACCGTGCTTTGCCCGCATATATATACACGGCCTACTCCTTCGCTCTTGTTCTCATCAGAGGAGTGACGCTCAGATCGACCCCCGCCTGTCTTACTCCCTTCTCCCTTGGGAATCGCTTAATTTCTTGCTACCCAGACACCTCCACCGATGGCCGATCAGCTCACCGACGACCAGATCTCCGAGTTCAAGGAGGCCTTCAGCCTCTTCGACAAGGACGGAGATGGTCTCCACTCTCAGATCTCTTTAATCTTTCTTTCATTTAATCTTCGATCTTATTTTCTCTGCAATTATTGACTCTGGATGTGTTCTTAGATCTGATTGCTCCTTGTTTGCTTTCCTGCTTTTGTTCCGTACGTCAAGTTCGCTCCCGTCCCTATTCCAATTTGAAATTTTCTGGCTGATCTAGGGTTCCTTTTTGTTTGACTTTTCGCTGTTGATTTTGAGGTGTATGAAATGCGAGTGGCTCGCGGTATTTCTTTGTTTTGTCGTATTGGCGCTTCGTTAGTCTCGCGTGTGGCTTCTGTGATTCTATATGCTATATTCTGTCTGGATTATGGTGTATCGTAGCTTTCTGAAAATTTCCTGGCTTGATATTTCGTTTCTTGTCTGACCTGATCAGATTGCCTCTGAAATAATATATATATATAAAAGATTCTATGGCTTCGGTTCTACTCCTCCGGTCCTAAACGTAAGACATTTTGTAGTTTAAATTTTACACTACAAAATGGTTCTTACGTTGGAAGGCCCTTTTACATCGCTGTAGTGTATTTGGACTGCACTTTGGCTTTTATCCTATGGACCTAACTTTATTTTAATGTTGCGGATAATAAATTAGCTTGATAATCTTAAAATTTTTGTTAGTCGATCTATCAGTGCCATCACCCTGTGGTCGGTACTCAGTAGCACTACATCTCTGACAAGTAAGTAGAATTTGTGGCATTCTACTTATCTTTCCTTCAATAGTGGATTGTAGTTTTCCCTATGCTCAGTTTTAGAAGTGTCTCTGGTCGTGTTGAAAAGAGGATTAGTGATTATAGTGTTTGCTTAGCGATTTCCTTGTTTTGAAGGCCATAAGCCTGATTAGTTTCCCAATTTTTTATAGAGCAACACTAGTCGAAATCTCTTGACATGCTTTAAAACTTCATTATAACATCTGAAAGATTTATTTATTTATCTATGTGTTTTGTGTCATGGCTGAACCAGTTTCGTGTCTTTTACTATTTTTTAACATGATAGTATGTTACAGGTTGTATCACAACCAAGGAACTTGGCACTGTGATGCGATCGCTTGGCCAGAACCCGACAGAGGCGGAACTTCAAGATATGATAAATGAGGTTGATGCTGATGGAAATGGTACCATTGATTTCCCAGAGTTTCTCAACCTGATGGCCCGAAAGATGAAAGATACTGATTCTGAGGAGGAGCTCAAGGAAGCTTTCCGTGTTTTTGACAAGGATCAGAATGGTTTTATTTCTGCGGCTGAGCTCCGCCACGTCATGACAAATCTTGGCGAGAAGTTGACAGATGAAGAAGTTGATGAGATGATTCGTGAAGCTGATGTTGATGGTGATGGGCAGATCAACTATGAGGAATTCGTCAAAGTCATGATGGCCAAGTGAGGACCAATCAACCTAAACCAAAATTTGAAAAGCATATAACGAGAAAAGGGACAGGGCAGATAAGTTTTGATGAGAATTCTATTTCCGTTAGGACATCTTCTGGTGTCATTAGCTTTTGTTGGTTGGTTGTCTATTTCCTTCTTTGCTTTATTGGTACTGCTCATTAGTATTCTTGTTTGTTCCGTCCCATGTTTTAGTAGTTTGGATTAGCCGTGCCTCACCATGCATTGGTTCTTCAATTTTCTACTTTTTTGGTTACTATGAACCCAGAACAATTGGATGCAATTTGTTTTTTTTCTTTTTGGGTGGCTAACTATGTTAATATTTACTACTTTTTTCCATGAATTATTTTTCATATTCTGTTGGGTGCTCCTCTGTTTGAACTGTGGAATGATTTCCTGTTCTGAAAGGAAGATTGTTGAGTTGGTGCATCTCTTATCCTCGGTTTGATGATCCAATGTCAGACATCATTTCTGACTTTCCGTTTCTTACGAGGAAAGAAAGTGCTTTTACCCTTCGAAAGCTACTCCAAAATATATGATAGTGCTTGCCGCAGAACCCCCTGCTTTTTCCCAATCTGGGTTAGATTAGTGCGGAACTATGTTTCTGTCCAATTATACAACAAGTCAGAGTAATGGCAATTTGATAGGTTGAATATGATTTTTTATCTTCTTGGTTCTAACTAGACCCTTACCCATAATGGAGAGAATAGAATTCGTGGTGGATTTTTTTGACTCCCTAGGTAGAGGTAAGTCGATTTTTCCCCAGTTATTCTTTTGTTGTTTAGTTACATAAACCTATCACAACTTCTGAGCTTAAAAACTTATTTTTCCCCCCTACCCTTCTGTCTTCTCTTATCTTCTGTTTCCCAGAAAAAAGATTATAGTAGCCGAGGTTTGAATAACTTTAGGAAAAAGAAATCTACTATAGTCTTATTTTCATATATGGAATTTTTGGTTCGAACTCTAGTCTTCTCTCTGTTATTTGAGCTGGTCTCGTGACTATTTTGTGTGAGAAATTAATACAACAGAAAAATTTTCAAGTTCGTCTGTTTTTAATGGAAAAAGAGTCTATGTTGTCTACAAACAGTAGAGAAACGAGTTTAATATTAAAACTGCAAGAAGTGTAAATATTCATTGGAGTCCGGAATGCCTGTCGGGAATTAGGCATAGACGTAGTTTCTTTTTTGAATTATGATGGTTTTTGGGGTCAAATGATGAAATTTGTGATTCAAATTATAATTTTCAATTTACAACGTTTTTAGTAATAAATATATTTTTTTAAGAAATGTTAGTATTGTGATCTTTATTTTAATTTTTTTTCTATTAAAATAAAAACTGTTTAAAATATCAAAATTAAATTGAAGATGGACTACTTAAAACCAATCTAAATTAGATGTTGGAAGTGGTTGCTAGGTGAGAATGCGAGATAAGTGTGTGAATATATTTTAGAAGTCTTCTTAAGATGAGAATTCCGCATGGAATGTACTTCACAAGCATTTCAGCTTGGGAAGAGTCTATTCAGAACTCTTTGGGTTATTTCTGCCACCGAGCTTTGAGGAGGAGCCGTTGGCAAAATAGTCATTTTTGCTTTTTATAAACAGTTAAATTAATGTATGCTCAGTTCGTCACTCCACAGTTCGCCGCCGATATTGCAGGGTCGACATGGGGTCCGCTTCATTTCTTTAGTCTGTTGGTCTTTTTTTTTTTTAAGCAAAATACTCCGTTAGTCTTGAAAGTAAAGTTTTCTGCTGAAGCGATTTCTGTTTTTATGAATGTCAAGATATAAAAGATTAGGTCACGGCGTTCCGTCAAGTTAGCTTTCTTTCGTTGGGGGGGGGGGGGATAGAGAGGACCCATGGGTCGTTGACGTCGAACTAGTTTTCACGTCACTGTTTCACTAAGGCATATGATGCCCCCTGGTGGGATTTCATAAACCCTTTTTTCTGGAATCTTAATTCATTGCGTCCTATTCTCTATGATTGAGGTGGCGAACTTATGCTTATTCTTTACGGTATGATTTGAAGTTGCCAGATATGGATGTGGATTCTGAGCTCGTCTTTTGTATATTAAATAGACTCTTCTTGGAAGATAAGAATTGCGAGTTCTCTGCTACGATATTGCCGTTTTGCTTTTCTCTGAACTGTCAAGTCAGATCTATACCACCTAAATTTCTTTATTATTTTCAAATTTATATCGTTATTTTGTTTGAAAGTCTCAATTTGAATTTAAATTACTTCTATATTTCGTTTTTGAATTAAAATAATAAAATTTAAACAGTTCAGATTAAAGATAAACAATTAAAATATATATATATGTAATACGTATCCCTCTATTAGGGAATAAGTTGATTAAAGATGTATCTTGTCAATATTTTTATTTATTTATTTTGCTTTCGACAAGTGGAAGAGAACTAGTCGTACATAAGACTTCACTATTTGGATAAGAGTAAGCATCTTAGCTTTGCATGATGTTCGTTTAGATGTTTTAAAACAGGCTAAAAGAAGGCATTATTGATTAGAGAAGTACATAGAGGGGGGGGGGGGTTAGAAGATAGTGGTCAAAAGAATGAGACGAAAATTTGATTAGAAGTACGTGTCTGAAAAATTTATGGACTAAGAGCGCAATTCTCTTTTTTGGGTGCATCCAAGTTATAATTAATTATGGGCAAAAATCTTTAGAACAGAAGTGATTTACACATAATTAAAATTACTTTTAAATTAAAGTTCTTTTAATTAATAAGATTTTCGCCCACTTTTAATGAAATTTTTGAAAATTGAAAAATGTCAAAAAATTATAGAAAGAATTATAATAAGGTCTCATGAAAGAAAAATAATTATTACAAAGTCTCAAGAACAATTTAAGCACAAATAGAAAATGACAATTTCTAATATTTGTTTTGTAAATTTTTTTTTAAGGATTTTATTGTAATTTTCTTAAGATTATCGGCGGTCAGCAATTCCTCAAGGCTGATCCGTGCAAGTATGTCCCGATATCACACGTTTTATGCTCTGAATCCGGACTATTTTACTCGAGCCCCTTTTTTTCTTTTGGGAGGGCTGTTTTTTTTTTTTTGGGAGGGGGGAAATTATTGGTTTTGAGCGCGCAAATGCCACCGAAAAGGGATTAACAGGAAACTAGTGGGGGTCAAGTATGGGTTTTATAAAAGTTGGAGGTTAATGCCTCTCTTAGCACACTTTGATTAATGAATGTATATGCTGTGTTTGGGTGCAGAATGAGAAGGAAAAGGATGGAACAGAATCATGGCAAAAGCGGGGGAAAAGAGAATCGCCAATACAAGAAACGTCGTACCAGAGATCGAGTTCGAGAATGTTCCATCCTCTGAATGAGATCCACCTCCTCCTAAAAGTAAGTGACTGGAATATCTATTATGTAATAATAATGGAAATCAGATGATAATGAATCGTTGCCTTGTAGCAAAATATGCAGCAGATAAAACAGAAATGACCATGATCAAATAATTGAGTGTGATACGGTCATGACAAGTAATGATTGATAATGATTTGTCTATAAATTCGAATTACTAGTATGTGTCCCTTGAATTGCACGCAGTCTTACTGATAAATCACATATGAACACCAGACTACCTTTATATGTTAGCCTTCTTTTCTATCTTTTCCCTCTAGTGATTCTTGTCCAATTTTATCACCGAAATTGATAGTTGAGCTGGTTAATAGCTTAGAATTAAGGTGCCGCCGAATAACTAACCAGTGCAGAGTTTATATCAATTTTCCCCCGACATTTTTTGTTATAGATAGGGTATATGGTTGGGGTGTTGTGAACTGACGAGTGTCAGCTTTGCCTATGTCGGTGACTATTAGAAGATACGACCTGCGCTCTAAATTAACAAAAAATGTAACATGTTCGTTAACGTCAGAGACAGTCCTAGAGTAATATAGTAGCAGCCTAGCAGGACTAGTTTGACACTTGTAAGGCTCCGGCATCGAGCTCATCTTGGACCTTTCTTAACCAATAACTAGTTCTCTCTCAGAACTCAGCACGCCAGGGAGCTAGCCACTCGCCTACTAATGAGCTGCACTGAAGATAAGTTCGATACTTTATTGCTACTTCAATCATCAGCATGCTCACCGAAAGCAACCTTCCGCGCTTGGTAAAATATAGCTAGTGGCTCCCAAAATAACAGCGATTTATTTCTAAAACATAATGACAGATACATGTTTGGGATCAGACCACGTGTTCTATCCAATGTACCACCAGGGGAACTGACCACCAGTAAAATCCTGGCAAGATTGCATATGCATACGGACAAAATGTTGCCGTCACTCTCACCGTTGGCACCGGAGCACACTAACCTGAAACTATAGAACATACATACTTCTAGTTTTTAATATAAGAACTTGTTTAATTTTTATTGAATCAAGATCTTAATCCACTTTATCTCTCATATTTATATTTTTTTTAAAATAATCCTTATAATAATAGTAGTCTAGCCAATATACTTAATTAGTAAAGATATTTTAAAAAAAATAATACATATTTATTCAAATAACTAATTTAACTATTTTTCTTAATCTACTCAAACTAGCCAACTAGCTCTTATATTAAAGACCGAGATAGTATTATCTTATTCACCAAAGAAAAAAGAAAATAGAACATATATTATACCGCGGCCAAAACGACTCTAAATGGTAGAAGCTTTACCCGAAAAGCACACCGAGGCAAGCCACGAGAATTCCAAATAGGCCGCAAGCAGAAGGATGAGGAACTAGTAAAGCTAGAGATTATTGGAAAACGAGAAGATTTTATACAGCAACACAAACATGACTTATAGCACATTTATGGACAAAACAAAACACGTTCATATCCTACTGAGTCTACATAAAATTTCAACTTTACAGACTTGAGGTATTAAAAATGAAAAATGAAAGGGGGAAAAAAGATGTCATGTTACCTTTCTTCTTTTTCCCTTGCAAAAGGTTACCTTTTGAGAGGTTTGTAGAGAACAACGGTCACATATTTGGACTGGAACCTATGAGTAAGTCCCAGCGCAACCACAGACTGGGCGGCCAAGTTTTTTTCAATGAAAACATGGTTTAGCACAACGTGTTGAGGCTTTGAAGAGGTACCTACATCTGAATTCTCCATACCAAGGACAGTGAGATGCAGCTGTTGAGGGACTGCCATTGGCTCTTTTGCGAAGTCTTCTTCAGCAGGAAACGCTTGGCCATAACTGGCTTCTGGAGAGGGTGGGGGCTCAAATTCGCTAATACTCTGGGGAATGTCAGGTACATAATCCTGCAGAATAAAAAGAAAACATCAATCAAATCTGAAGCCATAAAGATAGACAATAAGCAACACAGACAAGTTTTAGTGAATAAACCTTAGGCAAATTTCTTTAAGCCTTTTCTTCTTATGTTTCCAATTCATAACATCCTGAATTTTTTTAAAGTCAATCATGTAGTGATGATTTGTAAAAAGTACCAATCTGCCATGTTTGTAAAGAAAGCGGAGGAAAAAAACTGCTTACATTAACATCAAGAAGATTACAGACACAACCCATCTCATCAGCTACATAAGGAAGTTCAGGTATATATCTCTGTTCGCCATCAACAATAAACTTGTAATGATATAAGCCGGATGGGAGGACCATAACAACCGAGTGATCCTTGCCAGCTCTCTGCAGCTGCTTCCTGTAAATAATAAAGTTAACTTATATTGCCAAGTACACAATGTAGGATATTTGCAACTACACTGATAAAATAAAGGCGGTATCATTGATAAAGGAATCATTAAGTCTAACCTAGAAGTCCAATTATCCCAGGATCCCTGTACAACCACATTGTTACCACCATAAGTCCATGTAATCATGACAGGGATTCCTCGCTCAGGAGGTTGATCAACAATCCCATGAGATTCGTTCTGCCACATTTGGTTGAAAAAATGAGGACCATTACCTCTTTGCAGTGGAGCTAGAGGAGCCTAAAAAGCACAAAGTAAAACATGACATGGTGCAGCTGCTGATAATGTGTGGTTTTATAATAAATCATCCAATCAAAAGAAGCAAGCTTCATGGTCGTTGTCAAATTGACAAACATAGTATCGAGTCTTTCTCAATATAAACCAGATATTGTCATTTCACAAAAACACATGCAATGTTAGTTATGAGAACACAAGGACCGCAAAACAGAAAAATATTCAGAGGAACTTTCAGAAAGTCATCATTATGAATTCATAAAACCTTCAAATTAACAAAATTTATTGAACGCAATATAATATGATAATGGAAGATCTTTCAGTCAAGGATGATGGACTTATCAGCTATCATAGTCACTTCTCCATAACGGGAAAGGAACGCCAACCTACATCTCTATCAAAATTAGCATCTTTAAGCCAACATTCCTGTATGTGAAATATTTTGTTGCAGTTCTTTCGTGAGGTTACAAAACAGCCATATAATTGAGAAAACAGGGTAAGAAATTTCTTTTTTTTTTTTTTGGGGGGGGGGGGGGAACCCCATAAAATTATTTAGCCAACGAGAAAATCATATGTCTTTTGGCATATAACCCTAGAGTCTCAGAGATGAAAATAGTGAGGTCAGATGCAACGCATAAAAGTGCAAAAATTCACAATAAGCCATACACACCTATGACAGAGGTATTCATTATCTCAAGGAGACAGATAAATTTTATATGTTCTGAAATCACATTTTATTATATACTAATAAAAATCAGGGGTTGTGAAATTCCCAAATAAAGCTGCCAAGCTACGATGGCTAATCTCAAATGCTTGAAGCACTTAATTTACTATTGCTCCAAAACGCATAGCTTAATTTTCCCTGATGTGGACCCTACAATTCAAATACAAGGTGATTGAACCATCAACTATGTCACTTTACATAATATATATCAATCAAATGGTGATGTTATGCAAAATATTTTGCAACCTTGTCATCCAACGTAGCAGAAAAAAGATAATCCCAGCTCCATTTCTTTTTTTGCCAGCCAGCTCCGAAACTCAAAAACAACCATCATGTTTCTTGAATGTGAGCAAGCGAACAAGTAAGCCACAAAAGGGGAAGGAAAGTAAAAACTAGAAAAAGAATGAGGATGACCATCAGTTATTAAACATATTCATTCAACTGCTATTCTACCCAGGGGTCCTACTGCAAGTTCCTATATTTTTCAGTTATTCATATTTAACTAGGTGAATACATTAGCTAGAGCCTTCCACTTTCCAGTATTTTATGATATTTATCGATCTTTAACATAAGGCAACTACATTGAACAATGGAAAACATCACTGAATCCAGTGAAATTAAAATTATTTAGATCTCTTATGATTTGAGTCTGATGAAGATAGTTGCAAGGAAACAGACCACAATTTTTTTTATTTAAAGGGGGGAAAACGAAGTTTAACTCCTATCTTTTAACAAATGATCGCCCCTCTTTCACATCATCCATAAAAAAACAAATTCAAACTAGACAATTTGTTAGCTTGGACAACATTTATTTAATAGGCAAAATCATTAAAGACTTACTCAAATATAGTGTCCCTTTCGTTAAAAAAATCAAGGGAAATATGAAAAGGAGAGAAAACTTGGTTTCTTATTCTAAAATAGAAGGGCAACATTGCCTGCTTTTGAACAAACGGGACCAAATAAGAAATTGCATGAAACAAGAAAGACCAAAATTGTACTTAAGCCAAAAGAAGGGGAAAAAGTCCCGGCTCCTAAAATCGTTTGGGAAAGCAATCTACAACTTAGAAGATTAAAAAAGCCATTTTCCACATATTGTTGGGTACTTTTAACTCACTGGGACATGACTTTTATGTTGACCCAAGCCCCAAAGACCTGAAAACGCACAAAAATTTTTCAGAAGATATTCTATTTAACATAGTGAAAATCTACACACGCAAACACATATCAACATGCACATATTGGACATCAGGAAAACACATGCTCCCCTATGTAAGGGGAGTGATGCAGGTCAACATGGACATGACCGAGGAAAGCGGGAGACAGAGAAATATGAGGGGAAGAAGGGAGGGGAAGAGATGGGTAACAAGCCACACTTTATTAATAGTCAATCAAAACGTTACCCTAACCCTAGTTACTGGGTCCTTATAAAATGCAAGAGATAACTCCTAATGAGAGATTGATGTATATTGGCATTGAGCACTATTCAATTATATTCGAGAAAATCATTCTATAAAATACTTAACTGTGATTAATATCTAATTGCAAGATCTTCCTAGCTTCTGAGTAAAACATTCCAAATTGTACTTCAGTACATCCATTACAATATCCCAAATCATGGCCCGGATTTTGGTGGACAGCATGCACTCATATATCAAAATATCACACGCTGCT